ATTCCTTAGTGCCCCTTACCCATTTAGCCCATCCTCCTCCCACACCCCCTCCCATAACCCTCAGTTTGTTCTCCATATTTAAGAGTCTCTTATGTTTTGTCCCCCTCCTTGTTTTTATATTATTTTTGTTTCCCTTCCCTTATGTTCATCTGTTTGGTCTCTTAAAGTCCTCATATGAGTGAAGTCATATGATTTTTGGCTTTTTCTGACTGACTAATTTCACTTAGCATAATACCCTCCAGTTCCATCCACGTAGTTGCAAATGCCAAGATTTCATTCTTTTTGATTGCCGAGTAATACTCCATTGTATATATATATACCACATCTTCTTTACCCATTCATCCATCGATGGACGTTTGGGCTCTTTCCATACTTTGGCGATTGTTGATAGTGCTGCTATAAACATTGGGTGCATGTGTCCTTCGAAACAGCACACCTGTATCCCTTGGATAAATACCTGGTAGTGCAATTGCTGGGTCATAGGGTAGTTCTATTTTTAGTTTTTTGAGGAACCTCCATACTGTTTTCCAGAATGGCTGCACCAGCTTGCATTCCCACCTTGCCATCATTTCTACCTTTTCCTTCCCACCATGGAAGAGGGAATGGGATATCTCAGATTATCGCAGCTAAAGAAACGTTATGATTAATAGCTTACTCCTATGCCTTCACAATATTCCTTTTTTTGTTTGTTTGAGCCCCTCCACCCCCTGGGGAAGAGGAGCTAGGAGATAAGTCCGCTGAAAATAAGAACACTTGGTCATAATACTGAGAGTAGGAGTGCAAAAAGGGCCATACTGTAAGCAAATGTGCCTTCTTTTCCTTGGTGCGTGTTCTCTTAAGTGTCTTTTCTGTATCTCTCCTGGCAATTAAAGTTGAAAGATGTTCAAGATATGGGGTCTGTGGGAAAGGGATTAGGAAGCTATTCACAAGCTTTTAGTGAAGGCATTAGGCCATAGACAAAAAAGTAGCCTTTCTTGATTCCAAGAGAGAGTCCACCAGAATAAGGAATCCACACAGGAGTTTGGGTCCAAAATGTCATTGAATACCTATATATAGCAAGATGTGGTGACTTTTCTAAGTCGCCCTGGAGAACTATAACCACCATAGATTGAGTACTTATTGTCTTGTACCTTGCCCAGTTCTTTGTGCCAACCATGCAAGGCAACTAAGGAAAATACTGGTATGGAAATAAATAAAAAAGTGAAACCCATATACCTATCTCTGCCAAGGGTTTTCCAGGGAATTATTTTCAGGAAGAACAAGCCTAGGCCGAAGAACAATTTCTTATTTGTTGGCACTTTAGGCCTGTTCTGGTTATCTATTGCTACATAACAAACCTACCCCAAAACTTAATGGCTCACAACGTAAAATGCTTAGTGTGGGAACCCCGCCCTCTCTTCTCCCTTTCCCCCTTTCCCCCACATCGTTGACCTGGAGTGTTCAGTGTGAGTAGTGCTATGAGTAGAAAGAGGACAAACATGGAGGAGTTTTTCCAAACATGGATGTTACCACACCAGGCAGTCCCATGGAGCCAAGCCAAGGATTCATAAAAGACACCTTGCTACTCTAACAATTTAACATTTAACCCTTCTACTTGTTCACTGTGAAAGGTCTAACTCTTAGCACCTTGGTCCTAATTTGTCCCCAAAGAAATCTTTTTTTTTTTTTTTTTAGCCTTAGATCAGTGTTCCCACTCCTTGGAGGTGGCAGAGAAAAGAATGAATTCCACCTACATGCAAACAACCAGATATTCAATGAAAATATGCCTTAGTAATTATATACTGAATAAAAGGATGTCACCCAGTAGAGGGTCATTTCCTAGCTAAACACATAGATTGAACTCATAGATTAAATAAATTTGATGAATATCTATTGAATATCCACTAAGTACCAGGCATTTGACTTACATTGCCTATTTTTTGGATGATATTCAAACTTTTAATAATCAGTACAATCAGGATATCTGTAGGTATTTTTGTGCCAAGATTGCTCTGCTAGGCATCAGCCCTCTAATTGCTGGATCATGGGGAGGTCCTTGGTGTTCCAGGAGAAGGATGGAGGGCTCTCAAAGTGCTCAGGGGAGTAGTTATATACCAACTCATATGAAAATAATGCACTATTTTAACCACCAATATGGTCTTACCAGTTGTGTGTTGGTTACATATCAGCCTTGCCTTGTAGAATAACCATAATGCTATGACATTAGCACTGTCATTTTGCAGCTGGAGAAACAGCCAGGAAGTGGAAGTAGTTTGTTCAAGACCACGTAAGAAGTAGATAGCAAAGTTAAATACAAACTCCATGTGGATGGCTTTAAATCTGCATTCTTTCTATACAGTAGAAACCCCTTTATAAGATAAAAAGTTCCATACTCATAAAATCCCTTCCAACTTAGTTCTCATTACAGATGAGAAGACTGATCTCAGAAAAATGTATAATAAGAGGTGTCCTCAAAACTAACTCCAACCCATATGTGTTTATTTATCAAGTACATTAGGTCTTTTGGGCATATATTCAGTGCATGCCTACTATTTCCAGGGTATGGCTATGTTCTAGGGAATTCTATAGGATCTTAAGAAATAGAGTCTTGTCACCATGTATCTGTCCTATTTATCATAATTGCCCTTTAGAGAGAAATCATCTATTCCCACACTTTCGTTTTCCCATTCTTGACCATGCCTCTTTGCTGGTACGTACCATTCATTTTTCAGGATTCCCCTCAGATTTTATTTCCTCCAGGAAGCTCTCCAAATTCCCAAGACTGGGTTGGGTGCCCCCCTTTTGTGCTTCTACACACACCACCACCAGCAGCACCCATACACACCTATTCCTTCCCTCCTTTACTTCTGTTGTAGTATATTGTGTATCTCCATACTAGATTTAAAACTCCTGGAAGGAGGGGCACCTGGGTGGCTCAGTCAGTTAAGCGTCTGACCTTGGCTCAGGTCATGATCTCACAGTCTGTGAGTTCGAGCCCTACATCAGGCTCTGTGCTGGCAGCTTGGAGCCTGCTTCAGATTCTGTGTTCCCTCTCTCTGTCCCTCCCCCACTCATGCTCTCTCTCTCTCTCTCTCTCTCAAAAAAAATAAACATTAAAAAAAAAAAAAAAACTCCTGAAAGGAAGAGACCATGTCTGATTACTCTTTGTGCAGCATGACAACCTGCTCTTTTTACAATATGATTCACTCTCTTAAGGGTACTACTCCAAGGTCCTTGGAAGATTTTGACTAATTTGGTTGCTGCCACTCAAGTTCTACTTGTGATGGTCTTTGGCAGCTACTTCCCTGTAATTCCAAAAATACCTTTCTTGCCTATATGTAGGAACTGGTTTGTAGGATCAGGCTGGGTGATGAAACAAAGACCTGGTGTGTGGAGGCATAGAAGGGTGAATGACAGGCCATATGTTTTGCATTCAGGCCTTCATTGCCACCTATTATATTGTAATCTATTTCCTGGCAGACGCTTAGTGTGTTACATAACCCGATGCTTCATGGAGTTTCTAAAATGAAGATTCCTGTTACTTAGATTTGCATTTTTTGCAGATATGGTTCTTGCTGTAATGCTTTCTCAAAGGACCTTTTTATCAAAGATTCTGAGAACATTAGTTAAAGGAAATATGGCCTTTAAAAAGCTGATGTGTCAAACCTAACAACAAACAATATGCCTAACCTCTCAGGAGTGTGTCAGCTGAGCTCAGTCAGGTCTATACTGTAAAATGGCAGGCTGAGCAGTGAAGGGAGATTGTCTTGGCAGGTCCTACAGTGTCTTTGCTGATTAACTCTGAAACTATAGGTAGGGTGATTACACCTATAGTTTCCTTGCCTGCAAAATCAGGATGATTTTACATTGACTCAGTTAAGCAAATAATTTTAGAGAAGTTAACTGTGTGTGTTGTTTGATCATTTCTGTCTTAATTCCAAGCAATCCAAGTTAAAAAAAAAAAGTAAAATAAGGTGCACTTGGCTGGCTCAGTCAGCAGAACATGTGACTGTTGATCTCGGGGTCATTAGTTCAAGCCCCAAGTTGAGTGTAGAGATTATTATTTTTTTTTTTTAATTTTTTTTTCAACGTTTATTTATTTTTGGGACAGAGAGAGACAGCATGAACGGAGGAGGGGCAGAGAGAGAGGGAGACAGAAACAGGCTCCAGGCTCTGGTTATCAGCCTAGGATTGACGCTGGGCTCAACTTCACGGATCAGCGCAGATCGTGACCTGGCTGAAGTCGGACGCTTAACCGACTGCGCCACCCAGGCGCCCCGAGATTATTATTTTTTTATAAATTTTTAAATGTTTTATTTATATTTGAGTGAGAAAGACAGTGCATGAATTGGGTAGGGGCAGAGAAAGAGGGATACACAGAATCCAAAGCAGACTCCAGGCTCCCAGCTGTCAGCACAGAGCATGACACGGAACTCGAACTCATGAGCCGTGTGATCATAACCTGAGCCAAAGGTGGACGCTCAATCAACTGAGCCACCCAGATGCCCCACACAAAGATTATTTATTATTTTTATTTATTTTTTAAATTAAAAAAAAAATGAACGTTTATTCATTTTGAGAGACAGAACAGAGCATGAGCGGGGGAGGGGCAGCGAGAGGGGGAGACAGAATCCAGAGCAGGCTCC